CAGTGAGTTCTAGTCCCGCCTTAGGCATGAAAGCCGGCTGGGTGACTTTGGGCCAATCACCAGGAGACCGTGAGTTCTAGTCCCGCCTTAGGCACGAAAGCCGGCTGGGTGACTTTGGACCAATCACCAGGAAGTGAGTGCTAGTCGCGCCTTAGGCATGACAGCCAGCTGAGTGATTTTGGGCCAATCACCAGGAGACGGTGAGTTCTAGTCCCGCCTTAGGCATGAAATCCAGCTGAGTAGGTGACTTTGGGCCAGTCCCTCCCTTTCCCCCAGCCCACCTCACAGGGTTGATGTGCTGGGAAGACAGGCGGAGGAAGGAGCATTCGATATATTCACTGCCTTGAGTTATTTTCCAAAAATCCAGGTAGTCCTCAACGGCCGCAGCTGAGCCCAAAATTTTTTGTTGCTACCGTGAGACATTTGTTAAGCCAGGATTGCCCCGTTTTACGACCTGTCTTGCTAAGCGAATCGCTGCAGTTCTTAAGTTAGCAACACGGTCGTTAAATGAACCCGGCTTCCCTCTGCTCGGCAGAAGGTCGCAAAAAGGAATCACGTGACGCACACCCCCCCGGGACATGGCGACTGTCATAAATACGAGTCAATTGCCAAGCGGCAGAATTTTGATCCTGTGCCGCAACGGTCGTAAGTGTGAAAAACAAATCGTGTCTCTTTTTTCAGCACCGTTGCAACCGAACGTCACTAAACGAACTGTTGGGAACTAGAATAACAATAAATAAATAGAATAACAGAGTTATGATGGCCACCGTCATAAATACGAGCCAGTTGCATCCAAACTTTGACCAGGTGACCACGGGGAGGCTGCCACGGCCGTAAGTGTGAGCAACGGTCCTAAATCCCTTTTTTTCCAGTGCCGTTGTAACCTGGAACCGTCACTAAATGAACTGTCGTAAGTCGAGGACTTTCCCCATCATCAAGGCAGGATGCAAACCAGTAAACAAGGAGGATCCAATTTCCCTAGAAGCAGATTTACCGTAAGAATTGCGGATTCCTCCTCTCTCCGTCTGCCTCTTTCAACTCCTGCCAGGTTACAAATTCGATTCCCGTCTCCGGATCTGCCAGCCGCCTCTTTGGATGTTCTGGTTGAGGAATTGCAGGCTTTTAAATCGGCTGGCCTGCCTTTCTGTGGGTACGGAAAGAATAAAAGGCACAGATACTTTCAAAACCATCTTATAAGAAATGCCCTCCTTTCAGAATGGGAAAGAATAAAAGGGGGAAAAAATTAAATTGAGCAGAAACCTACAAAGTTTCTTAATCAACTTTTCATCTGTTTTTAACAACATTTGATCCAATTCTGTCAGGTCTTTGTAAAATCCCATTGTTTTCACGTCTTTTTCAGCACCCTAACCCCAACCAAATGCACAGGTATAGTATAGGGGGTACCTTGCTCAATAGTAGTAACTGTGAGAGGGACCTCGGAGTCCTAGTGGACAATCACTTAAACAGGAGCCAGCCGTGTGCTGCAGCTGCCAAAAAGGCCAACACAGTGCTGGGCTGCATTAACAGAGGGAGAGAATCAAGATCAGGTGAAGTGTTAATACCACTTTACAAGGCCTTGGTAAGGCCACTCTTGGAATACGGCATCCAGTTTTGGTCACCACGATGTAAAAAAGATGTTGAGACTCTAGAAAGAGTACAGAAAAGAGCAACAAAGATGATCAGGGGACTGGAGGCTAAAACATACAAGGAACGGCTGCTGGAATTGGGTATGTCTAATTTAACGAAGAGAAGGACGAGGGGGGACATGACAGCAGTGTTCCAGTATCTCAGGGGCTGCCCCAAAGAAGAGGGAGTCAAGCTATTCTCCAAAGCACCTGAAGGCAGGACCAGAAGCAACAGATGGAAACTAACCAAGGAGAGAAGCAACCTAAAACTAAGGAGAAACTTCCTGACAGTGAGAACAATTAACCAGTGGAACAACCTGCCTCCAGAAGCGGTGAATGCTCCAGCACTGGAAGTTTTTAAGAAGAGACTGGATAGCCATTTGTCTGAAAGGGTCTAGGGTTTCCTGCCTGAGCAGGGGGTTGGACTAGATGACCTCCAGGGTCCCTTCCAATTTTATCATCATCATCATCATCATCATCATCATCATCATCATCATCATCATCATCATTACTATTTTTTATTATTATTATTATTATTATTATTATTATTATTATTATTATTATTATTATTATTATTATTATTTCCTGCCTGAGCAGGAGGTTGGACTAGATGACCTCCAAGGTCCCTTCCAACTTTACTACTATTACTAAACCCTAACCCCCAAGCCTGATCCCATTCTATCCCTAATCCTATAAAATCTAATAAAACTTTTTTTTGTTTAAAAAGAAAAAAGAAAAAATGTACATTAAGATACCCGAATGGCTTTCAACAATGGAAGCTTTTGCTTACCCAAATTTAATTAATGCCGATAAAGTTGCGACTTGTAAAGACGTTTTGGACAAGGAAGGAAAATTGAAAGACGGACAAAGAGTTACAAAAACAAGGTATTGATTTGGCGCGGGGGCCATTTCTGCAAATTCCACCGAGATATGAAAAAGGTGTGAAAACAACGGGGTTTTTATAAAGGAATTGCAGGCTTTTAACGCTTCTCCTTCTTTCCTTGGAAGATCTGCTCAAAGGGAGGAACGAGGACATGAAGCCGGACCCCTTCCTACGCAAAAGCCCCTCCCTGGAGTCCCTCAGCAAGCCCCCCACCATGACCTTCGGGGGCCGGATGTTCACCTCCACGCCCAGCGGCTTAAAACCACCCAGCAAACTCAGGTGAGTCAGGCAGATAAGATACCTTTATTGTCATTATTATTTTTTTAACTGTGGGCACGCTGGCACCCCTTAAAAATGAATTTCTGCTTCCTGCTCTCAAAAGCGTGCACATGCACGACGCACATATAAACATGCTACATGCAATGTATGTATATACCTACACTCTTAGATATAAATAAATGGAGAAAGTCCAGAGAAGAGCAACTAAGATGATCNTGCTCCCTAGACTTTCAGCAAAGCCCTTGATGCCAGCTGGGGGAGGAGGGAAGGCCCACCATCCTGGCCTCCAAGCTCTACAGATCTCTACAACCTACTTAGGATTTCTCTAGTGTGAGCCCCCCTGCGAGGTAGTCCAGGCAGGAGGGAATAACCACAATAAAGCTCTTATCTTTACAGGTAGCCCAATGGAACCCCCAAGTTTAGGCTGCTAAATCATCATCATCATCATCATAATAGTTGGAAGGGACCTTGAATAGAATAGAATAGAATAGAATAGAATAGAATAGAATAGAATAGAATAGAACAGAACAGAACAGAACAGAACAGAACAGAACAGAATAGATAATATGGAATGGAACGGAATGGAATGGAATGGAATGGAATAGAATGGAATAGAATGGAATATAGAAGGGAATGGAATATAGAATAGAATAGAATAGAATAGAATAGAATAGAATAGAATAGAATAGAATAGAATATAAAATATGGAATAGAATAGAATGGAATGGAATGGAATATAGAATGGAATGGAATAGAAGACTTGGAAGGGACCTTGGAGGTCATCTAGTCCAACCCCCTGCTCAGGCAGGAAACCCTACACCAGTGATGGCGAACCTTTTAGAGACCGAGTGCCCAAACTGCAACCCAAAACCCACTTATGTATCGTCGGGTGCCGGGTGGGTGTGGCCCATTGGGTGGGCGTGGCTGCGGTGGTACCGGCAGACTGGGTGGGACTAAAAAGTTCAATCAATCAATTCCAACTTTGCAAGATATTTTTTTTTCCCCCGCGAGAAGTTGAGATTGACTGATTGATTGAACCTTTTTTTTTTTTGCACATGGCGGTGGAGGCCTAAAGCGAAAAGGTTTTATAAAAGCCAGCTGAAGGCCTAGGACTAAGGCGAGGGCGCGCGTGCCCACAGAGAGGGCTCTGAATACCGCCTCTGGCACCCGTGCCATAGGTTCGCCACCACTGCCCTATACCCTTTCAGACAAATGGCTGTCCAGTCTCTTCTTAAAAACTTCCAGTGTGAGAGAGAGAGGGAGAGAGAGAAAAAGAGAAAGAGAGGGAGGGAGAGAGAGAGAAAGAGAAAAGAGAGGGAGGGAGAGGGAGAGAGAGAGGGAGAGAGAGAGAAAGAAAGAAAGAGATGGAGAGGGAGAGAGGGGGGGGGGGGACAGAGAGAGAGAGAAAGGGAGAGAGAAAGAGGAAGGGAGAGAAAGAGCAAGAGAGAGGGAGAGAGAAAGAGAGGAAGAGAGAGGGAGGGAGAGAGAGAAAGAAAAAGAGGGAGAGAAATAGGGAGAGAAAGAAAAAGAGAGAGAAAGAGAGGGAGAAAGAAAGAGAG